CTAGGATTTGAAGTTAAGTCTACACTCTTGGTGTTCTTCTAACTGCCTTTGGACCATTTCATGCATAGGTAACATGAGGTTCCAGCATAAGGTAACTGAGAGGAATTAAAGATAATCAAGTTGTTTGCAGCATAGAGCACAAAACTAGATGAGCCTTTAGAGATCATCTGTTTTAGGCCCCCTTCCCCCCTTTTTTTTTTACATCTCAGCAGAATGAGAACCAACATTTTCTAAGACTTAAATGTAGCGGTCATGTTTTGAGCCTCACATCTTACAATTCTCAGTGGACAATAAACTACTTCCCACATAGACGACAGTAGTTTTGTGGTATTTAACTTGTGAGATATCTAAGAATAGCCCTGTCTCAGCATTTGTGGCATGTTCAGTAAATCTGTTCTTCCAGTGAGAATTCCTACTTTATTACTTTGATATTGAAGTTACTGAAGCTCATTAGGAAAGGCCAGTGTTCCCAGTATGTAACAGGAAGAAGATTGCTAATCCCAGGCTCCATCTCAAAAAAACACATACACGTGAATTTTTAAACACACAAGTTTGTCATTTTATTAATATAATCAAATTATAAAATGCTTTATATTTAAAAGACATACAAGAATTGTTCTCAGTTGTTTAGTTTTGTTAGAGGTGTGCATAATATGTTGCTGTCTGTAATTAATTCACATGGTATGTGCAATTTGGAGGTACTTAAGAGATTAGGCAAAGAAAATAGTTTACTCGTCACTACAAAGAATTCCATATATTCCACATGCAGGCAATATTAAAGCAAAAAAGAACTTCCTCCTTTCTGAGCAGTAGCTTCCCCATTTAATTGGAATGATTTATTTTGCCACTATTAAGTCTCAGTTGAAGATGGTTCTGTTTGGAGCTTGAGGTTTGGGTGAGGGTGGTATTACAGTCAGTCTCTGTCTCCTCCTCCCTCTCCCCTTTCTTCTCCCCCTCCATCTCCTCCTTCCTCTCCAGGCTGCGCATCACATTGTTACGCTGCAGATTTCCAAATACTGAGTTTACAGGTGTGCCCACTTTTGTCCCATTTCAAAAACTGGTTTATGTGTTTGTGCCTGTGTGTATGTGTATGCACTGTGTGATGGTGCCCATGGAAGCCAGATGAGGGTGTTAGATCCCATGGGACTGGAATTAGAAAGGGCTGTGAGCAGCTTGATGTAAGTAGTGGGAATGGAACCTGTATCCTCTTCAAGAGCAGTGAATACTCTTAACCATCTCTCCAGCCCCTTTGACATTTCAAGATGGATACTTCAGTAAACACCAAGCATTTGTGAAAAAAAAATTGGATACTATAGACCACTAAGAGATGTAAAGATCTGCTTGGAAATTGTAGACTTCTAAGTATATTCACATGAGGTATACTAATACATACTAAAGATGAATAGGAAGCTATTTACCTAGTGTGTGTGGTCATTAATGTCTACTTTCCTCCTTTTCTATTTCCTCGAATGAGAAGAAAACAGTATGAAACTTTGTTGTGTAATTCTTTTAATCCTTATTAAAGGAATCAGAAAGGCAGGTGTGATGGTGCACACCTGTGGTTCCAGTACTTGGGAGACAGGCAGTAAGATTGTTGTGTTCCAGTCTGCATAGTGAGTTCCAGGCCAGGCAGAACCAGACCTGTCTCAGGAAAACCAAAACTAAAAGCAGTGACCAAACATTGTTGAGTATTCAATACCAAGTCTGTTTCTTAAATTTAAAGAGGATGAAGTACACCAAAATTTTAAACTTGAAGGAGTACCCGAATGAATTTTTAATGACTTTTTCAACGTTCGTGACATTTGCCTGTAGTATTGAATGAGTTAAGTTTTAGCCTATAAAGTAAACAGGAAGAAGGGGAGTCTGCAGCTCCTAAGACTGGAAAACCCACACTGCCTTTGTGTTCAGCTTCTGCTCAGGATGGTGGTCAAACACAGTGGTGAATTTCTATTTCCCTTTGGAGCTCCTTAATTCTTCACTAATGTTATTACAAACGCGCCACAAACACTTCCTTTCTTATAACCTGTGGCAAGGTATCTGTGAAGATCGAGGAGCTGGGTTTGATAGTGTATGTCTGTCATGTCAGCACTCAGAAAGCTGAGGCAGGAAAATCAAGTTTGAAGTCAGCCTGAGCTACATAGATACTTAGATTTTTAAAAAAAAATTGAGGGAATCAAGAATTCTACACATTTTGCATTTACTTCATAGTTGAAACCCCAAGTCTTTACACATCTCAAATGTATCCTTGATCTCACATCCATTAACAACTTAAAAAGAAACATTTTTTTTGTGTGTATATGTATGTGTACACATACATACACACACACACACACACTATGTACATGCCTCGTCCTTGGCGAAGTCAGAAGAGGACGTTGGATTTCTTGGAACTAGATTTGTAAGCCACCATGTGGGAGCTTAGATGGAACCCAGATTCTCTGCCAGAGCAACAAGTTGTAACCAGTGAACCAACAGTGCAGTTTGTATTTAATTTTACATATTGTGCATGGTTTTCACATGTGCACGTGTGTCTGTGTGTCTCACATGCACATGTATCAGCACATGTGGAAATCAGAAGATAGCTTGCTTTCTGAAGTCTCTTCTTGGCTCCCACCACATGGCCGCTGGGGAGCAAATTCAGGTTGTCAGGTTTGGTGGTAGGAACCTTCACCGCACACGCGCCACCCCCCCCCCCCCCTCCCCCCCCCCCCAACTATCGCACTCTTGTCCGATACAGGATTTAAATTCCTGTACTCTAGTAATTCCCTGCTTTCATTAGTTCTATTCATTAGTTGCTTGATTGAGGCAGGACCCTGTTCTGAAAAATTCTAATTTCCCCCTCGACATTCTGGTGTTAATACATTATCTACTTCTCATGCTTTCCACACTTCCTTGTTACTGTTCATATGGTCAGCCCTCCCAAAATTCCCTGGGATATGGGAAGTTGGTATAGTGTCGAGTTTAATGACTTCAAATCAAGTCAGAGTGGCCTCAGTTTAACACATCTGGTCAGTTCAGGACTAGCATAGTATGTTGGGATTGCAGTGGAGTGTGCATGTCCATAAGATAGAGGTCCTATTACTAAGAACTTGTCAAAATCCATGCAAGTTTAAATGGCAGGAGTGCATTTGGGAAGGTACATCTGGCAATTGTGTAGGATTGTATAGAGTTTATGTGTGATGTGTGCGTGGGCACACACACAGGTCAGAGAATAGTTCTCACCTTCCACCTTGGGTCTGTGGATTAAACTCAAGTTGTGTGTCAAGCTCCCCCACCCCACCCCACCCCCACACACTGAGCCATCTTTCCAGTCCAGCTTAATCTTTTGTATTTTTCAAGACAGGTATCCCTTTGTAGCTAGGCTGGCCTGGATCCTCCTGCCTCAACCTCTCCAGTACCAGGATTACAAGCATGTGCTACCATGCCTGGCTAGCTTATTACTTTCAAAGAATAACCATTTCAGAAAGACCAGAAAACACATATATTGGATAAGCATTACTTGACAAAGACTACACATTGCTTGCCATGCAGTGACCCATTAATAGACAATAATTTATTGTAGGGACTAGTTGCAAAAGAAACTAGTATGTCACATTGTGAAGAGCCGGACATGGTATCAGGTATCAAATACTTGCTTTGTATTCTCAGGGCTCAGAAGGCCAAGGCCAACCTGGGCTACATTGGGACGCTTATCTCAAAAAAAAAAAAAAAAAAAAAAGTTCATAGAGCAGTTCTCTTGAGCAGCCCTTACTAATCAACTTTATTATTGAAACATTTTTACAACTTGAACTTAGATACTCAGGAAAGTGCTTATCTGGGCTTCCTGAAGTTGGGCCTTGAATGATGAGTAACTTCTCACACCTCATATTTTCTTTCATGCTCTTCGGTGGAGTTTCTCATTTTTGTATTAATACACTTACATGCATAAAAATAATACCTGAATACTTGTTTATTCATCTTCCGTTATGGACTTTGGCTCCCTCTGTCATCCCTTCCTACTTCATAATTCTCCAGGTTTAGTTCAAAACCTCTTCCATCCTTCAGAGATTGCTTTGCTGTGAACTCTGGTAGATAATCCTCCCTTCTTCATGGTCAGCCTTTACTATTGTCTTTCTGTAACTGGCCTCCTTGGATTCCGCACGATTAGATAATTCCTTAGGAAAGAGACTTTATCTGACAGCCCTTAGTATTTTCCACAGCAAATTAAAGTTAATGGTAAGTGAAATTTATGTCACATGTTAGGAATGGTTTGAGTTTAAAACAGATTTGGGGAAATAAGATAGAGTGCTATATTAGGGGTGTCTAACTCATTTGAGTGGTATTTTCACTACTTGAATGGTTTCAGTTTTGGTCTTTCGGTTCTAAACTTAATCCCTACATTTATATTATAGTCAGAGTGTTTTGTCTTTCTCAATTTTGGTTGCAGACTTGAATTTTAGACTTAAATATTCTTCGTTCTGCACTAGTCAGTGATAAAATCTGCACTAACAGCCACACTATTAAGATGCTTGTTTTCGTTAAGAGCTCTTTCATTAAAAAGTAGAATCTAAAATACCTAACAATTTCAACAAGAATTAGGAACTTTGTAGCCGAATCTTCGCACACAGCAGTCTTCCTCCTCAATAATATATATCTAATTCGTATATCCACCAGTCATCTGGCGGTACGGTGACAAGTTGAGGGACAATTTCGGGCACATCCCATGGAGTCTCCTCTAACTGCCCAAGTTTCTGGCAGCGACCGTGCTAAGAATCTTTGCTGCTCAATGTCACCACCGCTTGAGGGAGGAAGACGGGGTGCCGCGGAGCGTTGTTAAAGATGGTTTTTGCGCCTTCCTTTTGGAATTCCGCTGGGAGCCCAGGCAGAGGGCTGTTGCAGCTCTAGCGTCCCTGAAGTTTCCCGAGAGATCCTCGGTGTGGGCGGGGCACCAGCGCGGTCCGGAGAGCCGCCCGGGGTCCGCGAGCCCCTTTCCCCGCCCACCCAGCGGTTCGGGCGGCGCATGCGCAGAGCCGGCCCGCAGAGTTGTCGGCTGGGAAATGGCGGCCGCGGGCTTGGTGGCTGTGGCAGCGGCTGCGGAGTACTCTGGCCCAGGGGCGTCCGGGGGAAACCTCTCCGGTGCTCACTGCGGCCCGAGCCCCGGCGTAGGCCCTGGTCCTGGCCCGGGCTCGTGGAGCCGCTCGGTCGACCGAGCCCTGGAGGAGGCTGCGGTCACCGGGGTGCTGAGCCTGAGCGGCCGGAAACTGAGGGAGTTTCCCCGGGGAGCGGCCAACCATGACCTGACGGACACCACCCGGGCCGGTGAGCGGGGCGCGGGCATCCCTGCCGCCCGGGACCGGCGGGGTGGGGAGGGGGCTCGTCGGGTGCCGGGGCGTGTGGCGACCGCGCCCGAGGCTCCCGGGGACCGGGGTAACGGGGGAGGCTGGCGGGACCGCGCACCGTCCCGGCCTGGCCAGACCCGGAGCCTGGGGTGCGGCGGGCGCGCAGCATCACCTCCGAAGCCGGCCAGCGGCGACTGGGGGGATGATCTTTCTGGAGTCGCTGTCAGAAATCCCGCTGCCAGAGCCCCCCCGTAGACTTTTGCCCCACCCCGGCGGCTGCAGGCCCCTTTGGATCTGGGCTGCCAAAGTGACTCCGCTCTGAGCGTTGGGGAGTGTGGCAAGCACGTTCTTCCACCGTAGTCCGGGTGACGCGGGGTGCTGCATTGTCAGAGGACCCATGTCCGCGCTGGCGTTTGCCCCAGTGTGTGCGAGGCTGTGTGTGCAATGTGCACTCCGACGCTGTAACTTAATTCTCCGCCTCCGTCGGCGGACTTACCGAAAAGTACTTGTAAAAATAGCGCATCTTTCGGTGCACGTTACCTTCCGTCTTTCACTCGGACGTGCCCTCCAAGAGAACGTGAGAAGAAAAACTTCATAGGATATTGTTGTCTCCCTCATCTGTATTTGCTTTTCCCTTTGAAAACATTACTTCGCCTTATATTGTTTAAGACAGGAAAGAGAATGGGAATTAAGTATTATTTGGTTTCCTTAGTTGTGGGGAACAATGTATGGTGAGTGAGGTATTCAGCATACTATAATGTGTTCCTCTTGTGTTTAAAATTTAGTTTCCGCAGGGAGTAGATTAAGAATTGAGTCTTTATGTTTTACATAAATATAAGGGGAGAGGTCCCTTACGAAGTGGTTTAAATGTTTTGTGTTTCTGTAGTTAATGAATGTGCAATATGCATTGTGTCATCTTCATTCCGCTCAATTTTAACATCTTAAAGTGAATACTTTCTTAAGCTTCTGTAGTTATCAAAGATTGGCAATCATTACATACTCATGTTGTAAAAATAAATAGACTGGGGCTGGTGAGATGGCCCAGTGGATAGAAGGACTCTTGCTGCCAAGCCTGACAGACACCCCGAGTTTGATCTCCAGAACCTAAACAGTGGAAGAACTGACTCCTTCCTGAAAGTTGTCTTCTGACTTACACACACACACACACACACACAGTGCATTAAACCCTAAAAAGAAATTGAAAAAAAAAAAGATGTTAAATTTCTGCTAAAAACTATTATTTCCAAAGAAACTTTTGTTCTGCTTACTAAAGCTTATTTAGGGGAGTTGTTCTTTGAATATGATTTTTTTTTTTTACTAAAGGGTACAAATTTGCTAAGGTAAACATGAATTTTTATATGTGTGTTGATAGGCATCATTTAAAATTGTCATTCAGACCCCTGCCTTCTTGATTCTGCTCAGGAGAGGGCTGATTGGCAGAGTGATTTTTATACTTAGGTGAGTCATTTCAGTATTGCTACACTAAGCCTGAAGGTAAAGAAAAAGATGATTAGAGCATTCTATCTAGCTTATTATCTTATCTGCTCTTAAGTAATTCTAGGAGCAACAGTTTGAGCCATCAAGAAATAAAAGTTTTATTGACAAAGAAAACCAAACATTTCTGAGGAATAATATTTAATCTCAAGGAAAGCTTTCCTTTTTGAGCTCCGTTTTTTTAGGTATATTATCATTCATACTTTAATGTTCTAGCTACTATATTAAATCAAAGGTTTTGTTGTTGTTGGTTGACATTTTATCTGGTCAAAAGTATAAAAAAAGAGTTAAAAAGGTCCCAAAGTATTTTATAACCTGTTAGACCAGATTCATTTCTAACTTCGGCAGCCCTTATAATTAGAACAAAAATAGTTTTAAACAGGCAGTTTAATGTCAGTGACATAATTTATTGAGTGTTCATTATTTGTTATTCATCCTTAGATGTTTAAACATATTGCCTTGTTAAATATATACAACATATGGATTAAATATGATTACACCCAGTTTCATAGGAAAAATAACTCAGAGATATTCCTACTGCTGATAGACTTTTATCTGACTGTGTTCTCCACTGTATCAAGCAGCTTTGGTGTGCAGTGAGACATTCTTCTTCTTGTTGCAGAGAGTGAAAGCAAAGCGTAGAGATATTTAATAATGTGCTCAAAGACCTGTAGCCAGAGGACAAAGGAAGAGGGTATTCTTTAGGATTGGAGGATGTTTGACATAACTCCAAAACCCATTCTTTTTTTGTAGGTACTTGATGAATCTAGACTAACTACTTTTTAAATGATGTGTGTCTCTGGTGTGGGTATGTGCGTATGAACACAGTGCAGGTGCTAAGGAGACCTACCAGAAGAGGGCATCAGCTCCCCTGGAGGGTGACCTACCTGATGTAGGTGCTGGGAATCAATTCAGGTCCTCTGCAAGAGTAGTATGCACACTTAACAACTGAGCCATCCCTGAAGCCTGAATTCAGACTTAAAATAGTTAAAATCTATTTTGCATAGAGTAGGTACTATAGAAAATTTAAAACCATGTAAAATTGCATAAAACTTGGCTCATAGATTCTTCTTTCATTAAGTATGGAATATCCATGGTAGAATGGCTGCTTTCTAAGAATTTACATCCTAAGAAACAGCACTTATTATTACCTATACCATTTTCAACTTAGCATAATTAGAATTTGCTTGAGTTTTTTTCCCGTTTGTTTAAAAAGGTAGATACTGCTGGGCATGATCCCATATGCCTTTAATCCCAACACTCGGGAGGCAGAGGCAGGAGGATCTCTTTGAGTTTCAGGACAGCCAGGGCTACAAAGAGAAACCCTGTCTTGGAAAACAAAAGCAAGAAACAAAAGAAGATAGCTGAGCTGTTAATAATGGAGGACTGGAAAGGTAATACTATTGCTAATAGCCGTGCTTGGCACTTACTGAGACCAATCAGTGTTGTCTGTGTTACTGTGACAAAATGCCAGTGATACTTAGCTTAGGAGGAAATGGAGCTGGAGAGATGGCTCAGTAGTTAAGAGCATTATACCGCTCTTGGAGAGGACTGTGTTTGGTTCCCAGCACCCACAGCAGGCAGTTCGTAACTGCCTGTAACTCCAGCTCCAGGAGATCTGAAACCTCTGGCCTTCTAAGTACCTGCCCTCTTGTGCACACATTCCCCCACCCCCTCACATACACATTATTAAAGACGATTTAAAAAATAATTTTTTTTTTAAAGGAGGAGGAAAGGCTGTTTGGCTCCTGGCTTTAGAAGTTTTAGTCCCTGGTCACTTTACCAAGTTACTGAAAGCAGAAGAGGTGTGCTAATCTGTGATGGCCTCTAAACAGAGAACCAGGAAGGAGCTGGGCTCCCTGCATCCCCCTCGAGGACAAAACTGCAGTGACCCAACTTCCTAAGGGTTCTACCATCCCCGTAGCCGTCCAGGCCGGGGACCAAGCTTTCCACACTTGCACATTTCAACTGCAAACTGCAGCAAGCCTTTCCCATAACCCAGTATTGTGCTAAGGTACCTCACAAGCATACAATTGTGTGAGGTGTGTGTGAGTACTAATTTATTTTCCCTCACTCCTCACATCAGAAAATTGAGACTCAGGAGATGTTACAATTCAGTCAGGACTTCACGGCCAGAAAGCAACAGAACTAGGATTCAGATTCATATTTATCCAGACATGCTGGTATATGCTTATAACTCTAACCTTTAGGAAGCTGAGGCAGGAGGATTAAGGGGTTGAGACAGCTTGAGCTATTTAGGAAGTTCAAGGCTAGATAGTGAGACCCTGACTCAGGAATAGTCATATAAATAATATTCTAAAGCTTGTGTTTTTGATCACTGGGTCATACAGGGTGAAACCTAAGATTTCTTTGTTTGCCTGATCCCCCATTGGTGTCAGGATCGGTAGCACCCTCGTTAGTGCTGTGCAGCCACAAGCACAGCCAACCTGGAGCTTAGAGTAAAACTGGAGCTAGAGCATCAGTTCCAGAAAATGATAGTGAAAGTTGAGAGATTCCGAGTCTTTCTCCAAGAAAAGAAAAGTGAGTCTTTTCTGGCATTTTGAAAAGGAGGAAGAATCAGCCTGAGGAAAAGCAAATAAAATTCATTAACTAGGCCTGTTCCAGAGTTCATAGAATTCTAAAACTTGGAGGAGCTGCGGTACCCATCCGAGTTACTTTACAGATGAGAAGCCTTCTCGGTTTAAATGATGTGCTTTAGACTGTAGAGTGAGATGACCAGATAGGTAGGATTTCACAGACGGCAAACATGAGTCATAGTTGAACTGTAAGAAATGGTTTTGAATGGAAGACAGCAAGCAAGAAACAGGAGAGGATGGGGATGGGGAGGGCAGAATCAGATTACACACTTGAAAAGAAAATAAATGGAGATGTAATGGGTGCGCCAATGTAATGCAGTATCGTCCAAGTCATGAGAATTGAGACTCTAAAAAATGAATACTTATTTCCTAGGCAAGAAGAATGGAGACAGCTAAAATGCCATTTAATTTGTCAAGAATGCAATCTGTAACCCACAAAATGATGGTTTTATAAGTCTTGGAAAAATGTACTAGAGCGCCAGGTCTTAAGTGGAAGTCATGTGTTGTTTTTTTTTTTTTATATCCATCACGATACATGTATGTTCATGAATTTTTCTAGAAATGTACTTTTCAATGTGATAGTCACTAGCCATAGATGCTATTAAAAAATATTTGAGATCTAGTGGTACATGCTTGTAATCCTAGCACTTAGAAGGCTGCAGCAGGAGGAGAGGAGTTTAAGACTGGCCTAAGATAGCTGTGGAGACCGTTTCGATCAAGGGATGGATGGATGGATGGATGGATGGATGGAGCTGGGTATGTACCTGGACTCCCAACCACTCAAGAAGCTAAGGTGAGGGATTACTTGAGCACAAGAATTTGAATCCTGTATCAGACAACAGTGAGCAACACAGTGAGATGTTATCTCAAATATATCTATTAAAAATAA